CTCACTTTCACTGCCATTAACTATGTTAAGCATCCAACCACCAAGAACCTTTTTGGTTAAAACCATAACAAAGTCATCATTAAGCACCTCTACCATTTCCACATTTTCTGTTGTTTTACCCTCTTGAGTAATGGGACCTACTTTGTCCAGGCCTGCTGACAAGGTGTGTGCGTGGGGAGGGGAAGGGACACAAAAGAGGAAGTTGCTCGGGGCCCAATGATTCAAAGAGGTCTGCGGTTCCTGGCCACTGCCACACCTATATTGTGGCAGTAGCTGGAGCCCCCGGCTCTTTATATTGCTGCTGAATGCCACATCACATGCCCTGGGCAGCTCTGACAGCTGGCTGCTTCTGCCGCATCTTCTGTTGGAGGCCTTACCACTTCCAGGAACATGGAGCCAGCTCCCCTGATCTTGTCCTTGATTTTCCTCATGCTTCTTATGTATTTGAAAAATGCTTTCTTATTACTCTTTCTCTGTAGCTAATCTGATCTCCTTTTGTGCCTTGGCCTTGGCAGAGAGAGACAGAGAGAGAGAGAGAGAGAGAGAGTGTGTGTGTTCTTCTAAATTCTACTTTTTGAGAGGTTCCCTCAATCTTTCCAGATTACACTATCCCCCTCAGGCAAAATGCAGGACTAACACGGCTACATTTCTATTACTACCCCCTCAGAAGTCTGATTTGACTTGTCAGAATAGCCCCACGTTTCACCTAAAAACCTCCACCCCTTTTGCTTGTAAAACTAACTAAATATCTAGATGAGCTGTTAGCCTCTGGAAGACGGCTCCGTACCCCTGGCTGAAAACCACTAGAATACTCCCTAAAAAGGCCTCCAACCTGCTCCACCGCCGCCTTCCCCCAAACCCCTCCCTGCCTCCTCAGCCCAGCCATCCACTGCTGGCAGCTCCCCTGCTCCCCAGAAATCCCTGAGGAGCTACGGCTCCTCCTCCTGCTCATACCCAAACAGGGTTGCCTACCCCAGGGCCCTCCCCCCATCCACTGCTCCCCCCCC